TCTCCCCTTTAAAGAATTATCCAGAAAACTTGGCGTGGTAAAAGGAGACAGTTTGTTGTTTAAAATCCCACTTTTCTAATATGACATTTCCTAGCGTTTTGGTGTGCTTCTGTCTTATGGGAAGAAACCTTTTCTTTCACCACTTGGGTTAAAAGATAAACCCCGTTGTCGAGGCTTATTCTTTCTTGTAGGAACTTGAAACGTCTAGAAAGAAACAAGTTCCCGGTGTCCTGAACCCCAGGGTGCCAGTCTCTGCCTGGCGTGCTCTTCAGAGCTTCACTTAACTTGAGAGCCCCAGCAGCCCAGCTTTCAGCCCAGTCAAGGCCTGGGGGCCACTGGCCCATCCCGCCCTGCTCCCTGGGCCCTGGAGGAGAGGCCGATGTGGGCCAGGCTGTCCTGTGCATCCCCTGGAGGCCCCTGCTGGCGCGTGTGGTGACCAGGGACGCCTTCCTGGAGGAGAGGCACCCAGCAGGGCCTGAGTGGCGGGGAGGCCTCCCTGGTGCTGACAAGCCGTCGTGGGTTTCTTGGCAGGCCCACTATTCCACCGGGAAGGTCAGCGCCTCCTTCACCTCCACTGCCATGGTTCCGGAGACCAAGCACGAAGCAGGTAGCGGCCTCCATCCCCATTGCCGGCGTTGACAGTGGCTGAGGACGGGGTGCCCTGCCTCCCTGCCCTCCTCACTTCTCAGCACTGCTCAGCGCCTGGGCGTCTTGGGCTTGTAGGCAGCCCAGGGGCGGTCAGGCGAGGGCGGGCCCTCTTGAAAGTGGGCTTGGGCCTGGGATGGGGCGGCTGTTGGGGTGGGGGCCCTCCCTGTGCTGGGGCTGCCTCACCTCAGGTTCCAGCCTGCGTCCTGCCTTGCCATCTGCCTCCACTCCAGCCCTCTGCCTCCCCTCACTCACCTTCGGAACCGCTGAGCCCTCCCTGCTGCCCTGCTCTCCCCAATCTGGGGCCCGCCCAGCCCCCCTGGGCTGAGGGCAGGCAGGCAGCTCCGGCCTCTGTCTGCAGCCGCCATCGACGAGGATGTGCTGCGCTACCGGTTTGTGAGGAAGAAAGGCTACGTGCGGCTGCACACCAGCCAGGGCGACCTCAACCTGGAGCTGCACTGTGACCTGGTGGGTGCGAGGCCCCCGTCCTGGGAGCCAGAGCCCTCTGCCCTCTCCTGGCCTAGCACACAGTCCTGGGGCCACGCAGCTGCCCCCATCCCTCCTCACTGATCCGGCTACACACAAGGGCCTGGGGCCCTGGGACCCTGGGACGGCCGCCGTGCGCCTCACGGAAGCCCGTGGCCTGTTTTGCAGACGCCAAAAACCTGCGAGAACTTCATAAAACTCTGCAAGCGGCGATACTACGATGGCACCATCTTCCACAGGTCCATCCGGAACTTCGTGGTCAGTGCCCAGGGCCCTGCTCCTCGGGGGCCCCGCCCAGCTGGCCACACTTGCCTTGGCGGGGGGACGACCCAGGAGGGCCCCATTCCTGCCGGGAGTAGCTGGAGGTGGGGGGTCCAGCTTGTTCACTGGCCTTTGTTCTTCCTGCAGATCCAGGGGGGTGACCCCACTGGCACAGGCACAGGTAGGTACTGGAGCTGGGTCCCCTGGGGGAGATGAGTGTGGTAGCCGTGAGGCCTGTGTGATCCATGAGAAGCCCCCAACCTCCGCTGCCCCTCAGAGCCCCATCAGCCTGTCAGCTGCTGGGGCCAGGCCCACTCCCTCACCCTGTATGCTGTGAGCAGTGACCCCCATCTCCTGGACCCTTTACTCCCTATTCTGGGGTCTGGGCCAGGTGGGGTCCAGGGAGAGTTGGTGATGAGAGTTCCTTGCGCCAATGGTACCTGGTACCCCCGGGACTCCACACAGATTTCTGAGCTGTGCCACACCAGTAGGCTACCCTTGGCTGGGACCTGGTCACTCTTGGTGTTACGTGCTCCCTTCTCTTCCAGGCGGGGAGTCATACTGGGGAAAGCCCTTCAAAGATGAGTTCCGGCCCAACCTCTCACACACGGGCCGTGGCATCCTCAGCATGGCCAACTCGGGGCCCAACACCAACAAGTCTCAGTTGTAAGTCTGTGGGCCGTCATGGGAGAGGCCTGGCTCTAGCAGGTTCTCCCTAAAGGTGGTACCCAGCCTGAATCTAGTCCAAAGATTGTCCAGCCCCACTAGGGACACATACAGGACACCTGCAGACCTGCCCCCAGGAGGTCGGCAGCAGCCAGGCCTGGAGACAGAGCCCTAGCCCCTTCCCGGGTGTCCGTGCCCTGGGCTGCTCCGGGGCTGCCCTTGGAAGCCTGCCTGGAGAGGGTTGCTGGTGGGGTCGGAGGCCGGGCTGGGGAGGCTGGCACTCTCCCCGACCACCCCTTCCCTCCCCAGCTTCATCACCTTCCGCTCCTGCGCTTACCTGGACAAGAAGCACACCATCTTCGGGCGGTAAGAAGCTGTGTGCCTGGGCTGGCCCTGCGCTCACCTGCCCTCGTCCCTGCCTCTGCACAAGTGGGGACTTGGGGCTTCCCTGCGGGCTGGGGGCCGTTTGGCCCTCAGAACCTGTCAGCTCAGGTGGGGAACCTCTCCTGCGGCCTGGCCAGCTGCCCTGCCCAACCCTCTGGGGCCCAGTCTTCATCTTTCTGTCCAGGGGTTGTCTTTCTGCCCAGGGGTCGGCCCATGAGGTATTTCCAGCTTCATGGCCTTGTGGTCTGTCACACCCTCTAGCTCTGGTCATAGTGCAGAAACAGCTACAGACAGGAGGGAACCAGTGACGTGGGTGCGGCCCAGTCAGTCTTGATTGTTGTCACCAGCAGCCCCCACCAGGCCTGCTGACCACACTCCTGCCTCTCCTCTGGCCCCTGGTCTCCTGGCCTGACTGGCTCTTTCTGAAGCCAGCCTGTGCCCCTGGCTGACCACAGAGACTTGGCCTTTGGGGTGCCCTGCCCCAGGCAGTCTCAGGTGCCCTGTTGCTCTGCTATAGGGTTGTTGGGGGCTTTGACACACTGACAGCCATGGAGAATGTGGAGAGTGACCCCAAAACTGACCGCCCTAAGGTATGCACCCCGGGAGAAGAGAGGGGCCACCCCCAGGCTGAGCACTGGGCAGGCACCTGGCAGGGGCTGGAGGGGGCCCTCTGCTCACTCCCCCTCCCCACCCCACTAGGAGGAGATCCGAATTGAGTCCACCACGGTGTTTGTGGACCCTTATGAGGAAGCTGACGCTCAGGTGAGGGAGGAGGGCCGAAGAGGGGTGGGGGATTCCCGCTCCCTTGCTGGAGTTGCGCCCCCCAAGGGCTCCAGGCAGCCACTATCCTGTCCCGCCAGATCGCTGCCGAGCGGAGGATGCAGCTCGAGGCGACAGAGGCCCGGGAGAGCACAGCCAAGACGAGCCAGGCCCCACAGGGCAGCCAGGGCCCCCAGACGTACCGCCAGGGGGTGGGCAAGTACATCAGCCCCGCAGTCACGTGAGTGTCCATGGTGCCCTCCTCCCCTCAGTGTCCACAGGTCCATGGTGCCCTCCTCTCCCGTGTCCCTGGGTCAGAGCTGTTATTGGCCGGGCAGCCACAGGCCCGGGCCTCTTGCAGTGAGTGGGCTGCCATGGGGGCCCCCTGCGGGCTGAAGAGACGGGGACTTTGGGGTGGGGGGCAAGGGGCTGTGTGACGCTTGGGGTCTGGTTCCCCCCCGGCAGCTCTCGTCTGCTGCTTCTCTCCCAGGAAGCGTGTGGCAGAGGAAGAGCCATCAACCAGCGCCATGGCCCCTGCAGCCAAGAAGAAGCCCAGCCGAGGTTTTGGGGACTTCAGCTCGTGGTAGCAGCAGGCCTGCCACCCTGGAGCCTGGTAGGGACGTGGGACGGGGGGCTTGTGTCCACGTCTCCGAGCTGTATGCCCTATGAGCTGTGACTCAATAAAGCTCTGGCCTGTTGCCTGGGTCCCCTTTATTGGCCTTGGGAGTCACCGGCCACCGCCTCCATCCCTCCCTCAGCAGAGGGGCCTGGCCTGAGGGGAGGAAGGGGTGCTTCCAACCCTCGGCCCCCCCCCCGTCTCGTCATCTCCGTTGTGGCCTGTTCACTCCACGTGGTCCTCCAGTGGTGTCACCCGAGACCTTGTTAAGGAACATTCTTAGGCCCCAGACCTTCTGACCTGGACTCTGGAGGCGGGGCTCCTGAGCAGCCAGGCCTGAGGACCCTGGACTTTTTCTCGGCTTTGACATTTTCTCAAGGCACCTTCCTGGCCACCACACCAGCATTTCCTTCCTATGAAAGACCTTCAGGGACCCATTCTCCCTGCTCTGCTCTCTGCAGCCCCCAGCCTGGACCCTGCCCCCTTGGCTTTCTGGAAGCACCTGCAATGGCTCAGGGGCCACGGTCTCCTCTGCTGTGAGGCTGATGGGGTCACTGTCCCCCGCCAAGGCCCGTGTCCTGCTGCTGTCCTCGGGCCCATGTAGCCTCCACCTGCCTCCCCCGCCGAACTTCTACCACTGGTTCCAGAACTGCTCCGTGTCTGCTGCTCAGGCCCAGCCCGTCCCGCTGCCTCCTCTGAGCCTACAGGCACGTCCACGCAGACGCAGCACCTGCCCCGCTCAGTGGCCCGCTGCCACCTTGGTCCTTCCCACTGCCCTAAGGGCCTGCCCCTGCCCGCGCCCGTCAGCCGGGGACCTGGCTCTGCAGCGACCTGCCCACCCCTGCTCCAGCTACAGGCTGCTGTCTGATGACTCCCTTGTGAGGCTCATGCCAGTGTTGCTCCCAAGTGTCTGCCTGGCTCCCAGGGAGGCGGTGACCAGGTGGGACATGCTGACACCAGTGAAGACACTTGCTGGCCAGGCCACTCACCTAAGGGCTCCTGGACCCCCGCAGCTGTCCTGGAGGAGGTGAGCACAGGCCTGTACTGGCAGGCGGTCCTGGAAGGGCTGTGCTCCCAGCCCTGAATAGCACAAGACCAGAGCCGCCCCCAGGGGAGGATGACCGAGACCCCAGGCAGAGCAGAGCGGAGTGCCTGAGGCCAGTGACACCACTCACTAGCCGACATCGGACAGTGGCAGCTTTATTTGTAAACTTCACGCAGTCAGAGGCCCGGGGCTGGACACAGGGTGGAAGGAGGCTTTGCACGTGAGTTTGGCAGTCCTGCTCCGAGGGGTAAACCTACAGGCTGGTCTGGGCATCTGGCCCGAGGGAAGGCCGGCCACCCTGGGCTGCAGCCCTGTGGCGCCACCCTACAGCGGGGGCCAGGACTGCCCGGCATCTTTGACAGAGGAGGGTTTATGTTTCTGTAGTTGTTTTTAGAGCTTGGATTGCAGTTTTCTAGATGTTAAAAACACTCGGATTTTGTAAGTCCCTGGTGAGGTCATCAGGTTAATTAAAGGACTTTTGAAATAATTTCCATTTGTAATCCTCCTGATATCTGACAGATGCCATCAAGAATAAGCATGAAGGTATAAAAATACTCTGTATGTACATATAAAGCAGCAGCAGATCCAAGCCACGTGTCTACAGCCAGTGTGCTGTGCAGAAAACACGGTGTAGTTTAACTAAATGCATTTATACTCCTGGCTTTATTGCCACTCTTCTCAAGAAAAAAATATCTTAAATAATTTAAATAAAAGTCATGGGGTGATATTTACTGTTTAGGAACTTAAAAGGGTGGAACATTCTGGCACTTTACCAGCACGTCTGGTATGGTCTCATGAGTATCCTTCCCTGAAGTCCGCCCGTGGTCAGTTCATTTGGTTTCAGAAGGAGCTTGGAGTTTGCAGAAGACTGACAAGCGTTGTGAGTTTTTGTTGGCATCAGTTACAAAAAGTACCAAAGTCATCACGGACCACTGGTGAACACATCACCATGACAACAAAACCAAAGTGCTCAAATCGGAGGAGTCTGAGGTGGTCCCTTGGGGGAAGGGAAGCGTCTCTCGGAGAAGCACCCCCCCCCAATCCCGTCGCGGCACTGAGGCTGGAAGGAGCCAGGCCAGAGGGGAGACGTCAGCTTCGGCCACGTTTCCAGTGATGTCACTCCTCGGGGAAGGGGCCCGCCCATCCTTCTGGGTGTTTAGACAGCTAGGCCGCAGGCATCTGCTGCTTCATGGTTGGCTCAGGCTGACCCCTGGGTGCCGCCTGGAGCCTGCGTGTGGGGGCCGGGACAGCGGATCGTGGGGGGCGGGGGGACAGCCTGGATAGTGGGGGCCCAGCTCGGCGGCCGGTGCTGTGCCGAGCACTCCCTTGGCAACCTGGGACATCGAGAGCTGCTATGGCCCAGTGTGGATGTCCCCCACCCAGGACACCCACTGTCTGGGCTGCGAGCTGTAGGCAGAGATGGCACCAGAGGCAAGCCTGGGCGAGCGGCTGGGCCAGAGCACCGGCTGTGGGGTGCGGGGAGGCGGGCAGGTGCTCGCGGCCACAGGACCACCTGGTCTGAAAGATGCCTGGAGCCGGCCCGCTGCCTTCCTCTCCCTGCCTCCCCAGCCCATCCTGCCCTTCGGCGCTGGGGTCCTGGAGTCTCGCCAAGATGACCACACCCAAGGCCCCCTGATGCCTGGAGCAGCAGGCCAGGCCCACTGGCCAGAGACAGGTTAGAACATGGAAAATCAAAACTTTAAGGGGAGCGCTTTTGGGCCTCCATTCTCTGAAGATTGACCAAAACCCCTGCGCGGTGCTGGCTCCCTGCAGAGGCTCGGGCAGATGGGAACGTCATCTGCCATCCATCGTGGCAGGAACACGGGGTTCAGGAGGCTGCTTGGGGCCCATCTGCCAGCCCGCAGGACCGACCCAGGGGCACCAGGACCCAGAGAGCAAACCAACCTGGGTCTCCTAAGTTGGACCTGTCCTGCTACTCTAACCTTTCCTAAGAAAATTTTAAAACAATCTGGTAAATCTTAAGTGTGTCCTGTTCTGGCCTCTTTCACATGGAAAGATAATTCTTGTTCTTCAAGTGCATCAGAGGAGAAAAGGAACCCGAGTTTACTCGGTCCAGTGCGCTAAACTCTTAACTCGGGGACCCGTGCCCGGCGCCTGTGGCCAAGCCCTGCAGGGCCTCGGCCCGCGCGCAGCCCTGGGGCCACCCTGCTGCTGCTGCTGTCGGCTTAAATAAACAAGGGGTTACGTGAGACACGTCTCTCTTTTGACAGCTTATCTAAATGTTCCCAGTGGTGTCTTGTTTCTGAACAAGGCTAACCACCACCCTTGGTGCCCAGATTCATAGACTGCTTCTGGAGAATTCCTGCACAAGCACCACACCCTCACCACTCATCTGCGAGAGGAATACGCCAGGTGTAGTTTTGTGAATTAGGACAGAAGTGGTTCCCACACCTTCACTCTAAACAAGGGGAGACGAGCTCTCCGAAGAGACCCTTCCCTGTGGTTTTTGGAGATTCGGTTCGGTTTTCTAGCGAACGTGAAAAAGCAAAGCCAAGCTGTCTTAAAGGCATTGGTTAAAAGAAGGTATTAACTAGACGGTAAGTCATCGGTCGATTAAGTCTCTAGAACTTGAGAGAGAAGAAGGTCATTAAAACATTTCAGAAACAACCACGGGCAGGAAGAGGACACAGGCTGGAGGGACTTACCCCGGGGTCGCCGGAGGGGGCCAGCCTGCTAGGTTCGAGTTCAAGCAGCACTGTCATCCAGCTGCTCCTACGTGTCCGTTACACTGACCGTCTCTTTTGCAAAACAGCATCAAGAGGGAATGGGGGTTTCCCTTTACTCCCAGCCGTTGTCTTTGATCATGTGCGCGAGCTCAATGATGAACTTCCCTTCCTTGTACTTCTGACTGCTCTCAAAGGCGTGCTCCTTGGAAGAACAGAGAGAGTGGTTTCAGAACAGAATCTGTTTCACTCGTGTCATTACACACCTGGCAAAGGACAAAACAGGGTCATGTGCCCCCAGTGGGCCCTGCGCCGTGCGGACCGCGGGGGCTGCTCGGTGACCAGCCCTGGAGGGCAGTGTGGGCCTCCGCTGGACTCATCGTGGTCACACTTGGAGGGACCTGTTAGTTCAGGTTTGCCCCTGGGCACCTACCCTGTGCAGGGCAGTGAGGTGGTGGGAAGAGGGGCTCTTTCCTGGGGCTCCGGGCAAAGGGGGTGGTCACAGGCGTTGGAGGAGGCGGCCATCTGCTGGGGGGCATGGGGGAAGGCAGCGCCTGCAGAGGACAGCCTCCCGATTGGCCCACCACCTGCAGCCTGGGGGCCAGGGGTGCGCGGGGCAGAAGCTGGGGCATGGGACGAGTGGGAGCAGCCTCCCTCCCCTGTCCCATGGGGTCTGTGAGTGCCATCAGCTCAAAGACGCTATTTTCACACGCATTCTGACTGACAGCATCTGTCACATCACTTGGCACATTTTGTTTCCACCTGTAACATTTTACGTCATTGCAGTGAATCTGTCTGGCCCCCGTGCGTCTGAGCAGGACGGGCACTCACGTATTTCCACCCAAGCGTGGTCTTGCAGTTCTCACAGTAGATGTCCGCCACGGCGTGCAGGCCGGTGAGCAGGACCCGCTCCTCCGCGGGGCCGCAGCCCACGTTCACCCTGCGGGGAAGGAGGCGCTGGCACCCTCGCAGGGGCCCTGGGCCAGCAGCCCCTGCCGCCAACCCCGGATGGACCCGCCACCTGTTCCCAGGGACACGGTACTGTCCTTCCGGCCTCTCCACCTGACCCCTGCCCACCACACCTTTGACAAGAATGCAGGAGGGGACGGGCTGTGGGGAGGGCCCAGGCCCACCGTCTCAGTGGGAACCAGCCCACACCAGCCCTCAGGGAAGAGCATCCACCTTCTCCAGATGCTCAGACCCGCCAGCAGATGCCAGCGCAGAAGCAGGAAGTGGGACCTGGCAGTGGACGGGGTGAGGGAAGAGATACTCACACGGAATTGAAGAGGTAGGCTCGTCCCTGACTTCCCTGAAAGGACTGCAAAGAAGAAACAGTTTTAGAGGATGTGTTGCGGAGAGAGTAAGAGAATGCTGTTTGACATTTTGCAATCAAAGTGGAGAAGCCTTGCGTCACGCTGGAGATGGCGAATGGGTGGAGGGGCCGCCCTGCACAGCAGGAGTGAGCGTCACCGCCCAGGTCTGCATTCCCAGGGCCTCGCGGGTTCTGCCAGGACGGGACACAGTGCCAACCATCCGATCTCAGGGCAAGGGAAGCTTCCACACTTTTCTCCTGGAGGTTTTTTAAAGTTGCAGGCCAAGACAACCCCTTTCTTGGAGGAATGGCCCTTCCGGTGACAGCTCACCCCAGGAAAGTGTTACCAGCTGAGAAATAGCTTGGAGCAAGATCACATTTTCTGAGATGACCGAAGAGGCAGAACAGGGTATCTGTGCCTCTCTGGGAGTCCGGCCAGCCCTGGGCTTCACGGCCACAAGAACCAGAGGGGATGCCAGAGGGGATGCTCATCATCTGGGGCGCCAAGCTCAAGTGACCCAGCAGGACACAGACCTCAAAAGTAAACCGAGAAATGCAAACGCATCCAGAGCACTCTTGGCTCCTGCCTGTCGCCGGCAGGAGTTCACGGGCTGGGAGCAGAGCTGCCTGGGGCACAGGGCGCACGTGCAGACCCAGCACCGCCAGCCTGAGGGCGGGAGGAGGCGAGAGAGGACAGTTACTGAGGCCCGTCGGCCAGTGAGCAGTACTCGTGCAGACACAGGGCTGGGGGGACAGATGGGCGGGTGGGAGCACTGGGAGGAAAGGCAGCTATAAAATGACAAGAACAAAAATCACACCAAACCAGCAACAGTGACAGCTCCACGGGATGGCTCAGAAGGAAGCAGCACTTTCAGGTGTAGTTACGACCAAGGTGGTTTCACAACGAAGCCAAGCAGAGCCCCCGGCTGGGCCTCCAGAGACGCGTCCCGTGAGCCAGAAACAAAGCTTGGTTCTCAGCCACCAAGACCAGGGCCACCTGTCCACAGGCTCCAGAGGCCAGCATTGTTCTGACTTAAGTACACAGTCTTCAGACTGAAAAAAAGCAGTCTCTTCTTACGTGGCTTTCTAGGATTAGAGATATTAATTTATGTCCAATTTAACAGTCATCCTTATCGCCTTCAGTTTTCTAGACTGATTTTCCGGCTCCTCCCACCTATTCCACACGTCCACCTTTTTCCTGGATCAGTGCTGCGCTGTCGGCTCTGCGGCTCTGCCTCAGGCCGGGCTCTGCGAACGTCCGTCAACGAGGGTCAGACAACACGCACCTCCGGCTTGGGGGGCGCTCCGGCCTCTGCTGCAGCTACTGTCGCTCCACAAAAGTAGCCCCGGGGATGTGCCAGTGGACGAGCATGGCTGGGGCCCAATAAAACTTCACAAACGAGGGTGTGCGCAGGTGTGCCTGCGGACGGAGCCTAGCAAGCAGGTCTGCCAGCCCCTTGAAGGCTCCTGTGGGCAGGGGCTGCCCGTTATGCAGTGGGACCCAAGCCTCACGCGAGCTGGATTGTGACTGAGTAGCCTCGCAAGGAAGAACAGGCAGCGGGTCGTTTCTCCAGCGGCTGAACACGAGCCCGCACCTCTCTGCACCTTTTCATCCCGAGAAGCTGCTTTAACGTCAGGGCTGCCTCCAGCGGGCAGCAGTGGAGCGGCGGCCGTGGAGGGGGACTGTCACTGCTGCCCCAGGGAGCGTGCCCTCTCCCACTGTGTCGGGATTGTTGTCAATGTCCCCAAGTGGCTGATTATACACATGACAAACCGCTAACTGGAGACCAACGTGATGAGGGGGAACCCCCTCCTTTCACGTCCAGAGGCCACTCCTGGCCCCGCACAGCGAGCCGGGCTCAGAGCTTCTCTGTGAGATGCCATCTCCCCCACGGTAGCCTCTTCTTTTCTTAACCACTATGAGTTCAAAACATTTCTTACCTCCCTGACTATTAAACTACTGCCATAGATCTTCTAGGTTTCCTTTGTTCCATCGGTGTTCTCCGGTTTGATGTTAATTTTACTGCCCTGACGAGTAACTGATGCACCTCGCTCCCCGTGACCCTCCCCAGCGCTGCCCGCCGTCACTGCCGGGGCAGCCCCTCGGCCCCGACCCGGCCACTTGCCTTGGAGATGAGCTCATCGTGGTTGGCCAGGTGGGCTCTGCAGTGAACACAGCTGTATGTCCGGTGGCAGTTTGGCAGATAAGCTTGGAAGGTTTTGGACTTGGTCATCTTCACCATCTCTGCAGGGCTCTCCTCGCTCAGCTCAGGGCTGGCGCAGGGGCATCTGCAGCTCTGCCGGCCTCTCTGACACAGGAAACACTGCAATACGCATGCAAGAGCCGTTGTTGTGCAGAGGGTGTGTGGCACTGTCCACACCATGGGGATGGGAGAAAAATGCAGCGACCTGTGGGCAAACGGAGACATAGCAATGTGTTTAGGACGCATGTGCTGTAAAGAGTGGGGGAGGGCAGGCCTCCACGGTAAAGGTCTAGTTCTTTAACCTCTATTGTGCACACAGAATACTAACACCTATGGCTGAACTATACTAAATGTAGCTGGAAGTGGCAGGTGAACTACTTTTACTGAAGAGTTTGAGAAAATACTTGATAAAATACATCTTGTATCATGTGTGACTTCAGGAAACGTGAAAGAAACAGCAGCCTACAAGATGCACATCTGCGTGAGGCCAGCAGCACTGGGTACGCCTCGTCCCAAATCATGGAATCAGTGACTCAAAGCACATGACATTTATGAAATGTGTGATGGATCCAGTATTAACTCATCTTTAAGAAATTACCTGCTAGTCAGGAATGAGCCCTCACATATATACTCAGATGATTTTCGACAAGGGTGCCAAGACCATTCAAGGGGGAAGGACGGTCATCAGCAGGGTACTGACATGCGGAAGAATGAGGTTGGACCCCTTCCTCACACCATATACAAAAACGAACTCAAAAGGATCAAGGACCTAAATGTAAGAACAAAATCTATAAAACTCTTAGAAGAACACGTAGGAAAGAATCTTTACAATGTTAGATTTGGCAGTCACTTCTTGGATAAGAAACCAAAAGCACAGATATGTATGTGAATTTACTGAAGGTAAAGTGAGGAAAACGGGACAGAGGCACAGGTGAGGAGGTAATGGCATGGAGTTTCCAGGTCTGAAGACAGACACCCATCCACAGGCTAAGTCCAATAATCACAAGCAGGAAAAGTAAAAATAAAGCCACACCTGGTCACATAATAATGAAACTGCAGAAAAGAAAAGAAAAGAAACCTTAGAGGTTCGCAGGGGAGGGAAGATTATCTTTCAGTGGAGCAACTTCCCGAGTAACACGGAGCAGGGAAGGTACTTCGGAGAGAGAACTGCTTTCCCAGAACTCTGCATCCAGTGAAGGTATCCTCCAGGAATTCAGGGAATGACACTTGCAGACAACTAAAAAGTTTCGCTTTGTAACTTTCTATCCTTTTACCACTTTAACTTCTTTATGTGACTCACATACATTCAAGTACGTAAAACAAATATACTGCTGGCAAGTGATTAGGAATCATGTGTCTGTGTTGCCACCACCCAGTTTCTAGCCTTATCTTTTCATCCTTTCTGTGTCCTTGTTTAAGGTGTAATCAGTAAAGGAAATTCAAGGGTATGCTTCACACAGAAGAGAAACAACACTAAAGTCTGAACTTCAGACTCCAAAAAGAGGAAAATGGTGAGTAAAGAAAATGATAACCATGCAGGTAAGCAGAGCAGAGCGCCGGTGTGCGGACAGACCTGCTCGTGGCTAGGAGAGCGGGCGGCCCAGGCGGGGCAGGCGGATGGGCCCCAGGTCCTGGTGTTGGCCAGACAGAAGACTCACACATGGATTAAATTTAGATCCTGGTAAATTCAGGAGAAGTGTCCTAATTCCTGAAGAAACATCTATAAGGACAAAGACCCAGGTGTGTAACTTCCAAACCCATAGAGGCGGCAAGGAAGGGAAGGAAAGCGCGATGGGAAGAGGAAGCAGAGTCACCGAAGGAAGAGGGGTCTCGATGCTCGTGTTCAACAGAAATGGACTAAATGTTAGAGCTTAAGGTTTCAGACTAGACAGAAAACCAAGCTCACGTAGCTGCTGTTGACAGGACACACACCTTAAACAAGGACACAGAAAGGATGAAAAGATAAGGTTATAAACTGGGCGGTGGCAACAACACGGATGCATGATTCCTAATTACTTGCCAGCAGTGTATTTATTTTACATACTTGTATGTATGTGAGTCACATAAAGAAGTTAAAGCGGTAAAAGGATACAAAAAGTTACAATATTTAAACAGCAAAATAAAAACTACATTAAATATATGAATATTTCCCTTATGAAATAATATTTAAATGAAGAACTTTATTAGTGATAAATGGGTAACTTCAGAATGATAAAAACAGCAAGGAGATAATAAATAGCATATGTTAATCTTATTACCTAATAACATAGTCTCAAAATATTTAAGTCAAAAATTGAAAGAACTTTAAGGAGAAAGAGAAATCTAAAATCAAAATAGAATTAGTGATAATATATCAAGTATAAACATAGCATACATAGTAATGTATATATTTATAGTATATATAAATACTATATAGTAACTAGTATATAGAAATACCTATGTATACATTTGTATAAAATACAGTCTATAAATAGTGGCTTTTTTACTGTATCTTTCAGTAACTGAGAGTAAACGCAAATGTGGGCAGATATACAGGATTTGCACAATGTTATGAACAAACTGGAACTAAAAGACAATTAGAAAACTAAGCAGCACAGAATCTGCGCTCACTCAGTGCCCACAAACATTCACAGAAGTCAGCCACACAGCAAGTCTCAGCAAACTCTCCATCACCATATATGCTCCGACCACAATGCAATTAAATTAGAAATCAGCAATAAAATATAACTAGAAAAGTCTTCGTATGTTTAGAATTTAAGAAATGTACTTCTCTATACCCATGGGTCTAAGAATAGTGGAAATTAGAAAATATTTTTAACTAAAAAGTAACTAATTACTTACCAGGAGTTTAAGGGACATGTGGAATCTTATCAGGTGGATATCAGAAAATAAGGGGGGGAATGAATGAGCTAAACACCCATCTTTCAGAAGTTAGAGAAGTAACAGGAAAATGACCCCAAGAAAACAAGGAAATAAATAGTGCGGGGACGGGGGGAGAAACAGAAAAGGAAAACGTGGACACCCGGGAGAAGATCAGCGCGGCCAGAGGTGCGTCCCCGGGAAAGACAAGTGGACCTGACCCACCTCGGGAAGCAGGGAAGCGGGGAGGGGGCCACGCGGGGGAGATGCAGGTGGGTGGCACCTTCCGGGGACATCACTGCTGAGAGGTGCCAGGACAAATTTAAGTCAATATATTTGAAAATATAAACTGCACAGATACATTCCTAGAAAAGAGTAACTGAAAAATATGACTCAAGACGAAACAGAAAACCTGAATAATCCTTTAAACATTAAAGAAACCAAATCATTGGTAAAAAGTCTCCTCCCCAATTCAGAGAGAGAGGTTGCACCCCCGCAACCAGCTGACGGACCCGACAGCAAACCCCAGGCAGAGCGGTACAGGAATGGAAATCACGTTTCTTCTCAGAAACCAAGATGCAAACATCCTAAATATGACCAGGGAACTATATTCAATATCTTGTAGTAACTTACAGTGAAAAGAACATGAAGATGGATCTAAATATGTTCGTGTATGACTGAGGCACTGGGCTGTACACCAGAAACTGACTCAATGTTGTAAACTGACTATACTTTAATAAATGTAACATCTTGGTTAAAAAAAGAAAAAATACTATGACCATACAGGGTCTAGCACTATTTTAAAGGAGGATACAATTAAAGCGATTTTATCACAAGAATGCAAGATCATTTAACATTAGAAATGTGATTAATAAAATTTGCCATTGATTGCTGTGTATTTCAACAGATGCCAAAAAAGAGCATTTGACAAAATTTAATGTCCATTCACAATTTTAGATATACTCCATGCAGACTAAACGTAGGGACTTCCCTTCTCTGTTACGAGGCAGCTACAAACAAACAAACCAATAGCCCAAACCACCCACAGTAAACATCGTGCTTCATGGTAAAACTTAGAAAACGTCCTTCCTGAGATCAGGAAAATGCCCTCCACACGGCCAGAAGCCCCCGCCCCCAGCACAGGAAGGCAGGACGAGGGGATCCAGCATGTAGCTTATGAGAGGAAATATGCTCTCATACAATGCAGGGGGCGATACGTACAACGGATGTAACAATACAAAGTACCTAAGAGCAAATTCGAAGAACTGAAACATCTTTACAGAGATTATAAAACATTGAGAGGCATTAAGAAAAATCTTATTAATAAATGGAGAGCTAAGCCACGACCAGCACTGGAAGATGTAAATATCTGAATGTTCCCCAAAGTAATTTTAAAATTAAATGCAATTCATTGTGTGTGTGTGTGTGTGTGTGTGCAAATGAGTCAGGGAGCCAGTGAGAGACAAAGAGAGATCTGACTGAGTCTAAAACTTACTCTGGGGGAGGGGTAGAGTATGTGCTTCAATCCCCAGTCCCTCTATCAAAAAAAAATAAATTTTTAAAAATAAATAAATAAATAAATAAAACTTACTCTAGAAGTGTCTGTAGGGGAAGAAAAGGTTTTCCTTGACCTTCTTACGGTCCCTGGCTGGTCTTTAAATGAAACCGACAAGGCAGAGTAAGAGGCCGGCGAGGCCACTCCTTCAGGAGCAAGATAAGCGGTCCTGTCGTCTCCCTTAGAGTCACCCAGACAGGCGTCCTGGCTCAGGACGGAGAACCCGGCCCACGGGACACCGAGGTGCCCAGACCCACCCCACACACAGGGGACAGCAAGGGCCTGCAGCTCATGCAGAAGAGGAGCTTCCTCCAGAAAACTGCGCCAGGCGACCGGGTATCTATAAGAAGAGGAGACAAAGTGGGTTCCCACTTCAAACCTTGAACCAGAGCTGACAGCTCACACTTCCCAACAGAAGGGAGGGCCCCACACACAGGTCCCGCCTGTGTCCCGCCACCAGGACGCAGCCCATTCCCTTCCTCAACATATGCTGCTCACAGCCAAGTGTCACGGTATTTCAGACACCCCCTGTTACTGGTTCCCCAAAACTTTTCCCCCATTACTGCCATTAAGTCTTGTGCCCATCCTGAATTTTCCCTTGGATTTCTCTAGAATCAAGGACAAGGCATCACGTTAGTCCCAATACATCTTACTGGCTTTTTCCATTGCCCTGACTGGGCCCTTTATGAGTTTGAGCCCTAGCATCCCTGCCATCTTTGATGAGCTCCGGGGAGGCACGGGAACACCCCTGCAGCTGCCCAGCTGGGACGCCCTGGCTGGCTCTGTCCCCGGCTCTGCTCCGGCCACGTGGCCCCCACCGTCCACAGACACATCTGACCAGAGACGACAGACACCGACCTTCACTCAGCCCAGCCTTTAAGCAGCAACACTCCTTATTCATAGAACGGGGGTGCCCCTCATTTCTAACTCAGAGTTGCCTTCGATGGGACACCACGGTTTCAAGTGGCAACTTGTGAGGGTTTTATTTCTTTTGAATTTCTCCATGCCATGTACTGGCCACCTCCTGCAGGCCCCCTGGGGTGCCCCCGCCCGGCCCATGGGCTCCTGTCACCTCTGCTGAGCCCAATCCATCTCAGTGCCCACGGTCACTCTTCAAAGGCAGGTGTGTGCCTCCTGCCCTTGTATCTGCCACCTGTGTCTCCTCCACCGCTGTCACCACCCCTCCCCAGTTGTCCTAGTGGAGCAGGGGCCGGGCCTGGATCTGGGTCATGGCTTTCACGCTGGATGTCCCCAAGGCATTGGGGAATCCTGGCCAAGTTTTCCAGCAGCCAGTATACAGATGGACTCTTCCAACAAGAGCTGCTGGCCACTTAGTCTCCACCCGAGTGACGGACGTGCAGAGGCATCGCATGACACACATCTATGAGGGGCCACTCTGTCCCCTGGGTTTGGAGAGCAGCCACCATTCCCAAAAAGATATCCATGTAGGATACGTTTTTAGAGCAAAGACACTATTCTGGGTTCTAGAAGTTTCTCTCTGTAAATAAGCATAGATGTGTGTTTTAAGAGAATGTGAATCAGGCCCGTGTCCACATGGTGCCGTTACCACGCTTTCTGAGACAGACCCTGAGAGCCAGGACCCAAAGCAAGCAGCTACATTCCCTGGACAGAGCGGACTCCTGGCCTCCAGGCACCCCTTGGTTCCCACACAGGTTCCCTTGTGACCTGCGCCCTAGCCTCCACCCCACCCACCTGGCTGCGGGGACAGATGGAGGCATGGGGACATTTTACTCCATCACCACCGCGGGAGAGAAAATGCAGCGGCTCTGGGAGAGCCCCACAGCCGAGGCCGCTCCTATTCTAAGCACCTGACTGGATGAGAACCAAAGGGATTAACAGCAGCCCGGAGAGGTGAGTGGTCTAATGAGTCTCACTGTGCAGACCGGAATGCAGGCCCAGAGAGGTTAACGAGCCTGCAAGTTTGCACAATGTGCTGGATTCAAAGCTGAGAGTCTCCACCCTAGACCACTGCGTCTGCAGACACCCGAACAGGTGTGAACATCACTCACTGATGCAAACCAAAGTCACACTCGTCTCTGTCCTACAACTTAGCAGGGTGGCAAAGATTTTTTTTTTAAGTTGATAACCCTGCTGGTGAGGGCACCTGCGATATCACCATTTGGTGGCACCACTGGAGCTCTGGGCACAGGTCCCTGGACTGAGGGTCCCTCCCTGCATCTCCCCACCCAGGCTGATTGGCACAGATGCAAGGTAACCAGGAAAAGGTTGTTACAATATCATATGTAATAACAAAAGATCAGAAATCATCCCATGTCTAACCCAGAGAGACTGGCCAAGGGCACTGATATACCTATCAGAAATGCTTCCAAGGTGGGACTTCAGGCTGGGGACAGGAAGCACAGGGAAGGTGACTTCCTTCTCACCGTCTGCTTTTGTGTAACACCAAGTGTGTGCATGGACTGCTCGAACTCGCGCACACAGGCACGAGAGCCCTGGGAGGCTCCCCATCAAAGGGCAACAGCACGTGGGTAATTTGCCTCTGGTGGTACCAACTTTCCTTCACACACCGGCTTCCTTCCTCCTTGAATTAAAGGATGAAAAGCTTTCTTCCACATTTCATGAACTGCAGCCTGGCTGGACCCCTGGGTCCCTGGGAGGGGCAAGAAGTCTCCTTCAGCCCCACCCGCCGCCTCCCTCGCCCTTAGAGCAAGCCCCCACTGCTCTCCCACCTGCAGGGCTCTAGGCCCACCGTCCCTCCCACCCGCGCTCCGGTCCTGCCCCTTCTGGCTCCCATGACACTGCTGATTCATGCGCTGGCACTGAGCCTTTCTTTTCTAAGAACCCGTGAAACATTCTTTTTATTTCTCTCATTAGTAACTAAGCTTCCCAGCTGTGGCCCCGGGACACACCCCAGCAGAGGTGCTGGCTTCCTGGCTAAGGAAGATGCAGGGACAACACAGGCAGGGCTGCCCACTTCTCAGCGGGAAGGGAGGGGACGAGACCAGAAGACTGGGTGGAGGCGGGAGGAAAGGGGCCAGGAATATTACACCATTTTATTAATCACATGCTAATTAAAACATAATCAAGCATTCGAAGCCCTGTCTTGGGGCACGGGGAGGGAAAACCCAGAGACGCAGAGAGGAACCAGAACAGGGCTGGTGCTCAGGGGAGGGCGCGGGATGCTGGGGGGACGGGTGGCACATGTGTGGGCCAGGCTGCAGGGACGAGGCCCAGAGGGAGCTCAACCCAACTGCGTCTGTGGAGCCTGGAGCCCAGGTGGTACCCGATCTGTCTGATGGGGGTGAAATGTTAATCCTATGGCTGCTGAGAATCACACCTGGTGTCATGTGGCTGGGACAGTGTGTCACACTGTCTCCAAACCTCACAGACCTGAGGCTCCGCAGGTGCCAGAGCAGGTGTCCCTTCCTGGGTAGGGGCGACGGGGCTTGGCTATGGGATTTCACTTTATCCTTACCAGCTGGCAGGCTTTTGGCAGTGCCACTGCCCCTGTCATGGAGCGATGTCGCCCGCAGTCAACTGGACCTCATATCCTCTGGGTGTCTTTCCTGAATCCACTCACACTGCCCTCCCTAGAACCCTCAGCCTCCAGGGACGAAAACGTTCAGAACTTCCTACATCCTCCCCTCAGTGCCCATTCCCACTCCCTGGAGGTTTGGCTGATTAGAAGATCTACTTGTCTAAAAAGTTCACACCAAATGACTCGCATAAGAGTGAGAACAGTTTTAAAGCAGGAGGACTCTCACTGCTTCTTCACACTCTGAACGATTTCCCACTCATCAGTTTCCCAGGAAGGAAAATACACTGAAACTCCATGGCAGGTCACTTGCCCCATCCACCTCCATCCCTCCCCTGGACAGAGGGTCCTTGTGGAACTTAGTGCAGAGAGGTAGGGGTCACAGATAAACATTGTAGGACACCACTCTCAAAGTAAAGAGCTTTATAAATTTTACTGCTTAAAAAATGGAAAGAATTAATATCTGGAGTCCAGTTAAAAGAACGCAGCTGTATCAGTCTTTAATTTTGGAGAATGCAGCATGAAACGGGGGCTGTTAACAACGGGGACACTGGGTGTGGGGCACTTGCTGGGACTGTACGTCTATACCATCTTTGCAACTTCTATGTAGATCTAAAGGTATTCTAAAATAAGTTTATTTAAGAACCAGAAAGACTACTAATTAGATTGGCGATGAAGAGCATTTAGTTACCTTTTAAAAGTGCCCAATAAATGCCAGGCCTTGGGCTCACAGCTGTGGTAAGACATGCTTTTGCCCTGGTCCTAGCTCAGGGGTTCCCACAAATAGAAGACTAGCCCAGGAGACACACGGGGAGGAAGTAGGAGGGGCCGGAGAGCCCCAGAGTTAGCCCCCTCGGACAAGAGCCCAGTGCACAAGTATAAACCTCAATGTCACCGAGATCCAGCACAGCACTGAGATGCACAGGGCAAGGGCTCCACCAACGTGTGACACAGCTCCTAGCGCAGAGCAGAGGCAGGAAGGGGCGCAGGTACTGGGAGGGGACAGCTGGCTCGCCTGACGCTCCTGAAAGCCATCCCCAGAGCAGGTAAGAGAATGAGGGACTGGTGGGTGAAAAGCACAACATTCCTGGGAAGGGAACAACAGGAATGCAGGAATGCGATTGAACAGAAAAAGTCTGGGTTGGGGACCCAACGGCCTCCAGGGCGGGCGGCAGTCTACCGGAGACGGAATTCCAGCCTCCTTCCCGCCCTGGAGCTCTGCACCTGACGTGGACTTCACCCATGCCGGCCTGGGGTGGGGGCGCCGCACGCGACAGGTCCGCAAGCTCCGCGCACTCAGAGCCCAGCTGGTGCCACAGGTGGTGGGGAGCTCAGTCGGGTCTCGACCTTTCCGTGGGCGACTTTCCGTAACCGTGCTGGGAGACCTCTTTTGTCCTCATTTCCCAATCGCGACCCTCTTTTTTT